GACGAAGGGTACAACATGAGTCCAAATTGCGCGCCAGAAGAGCTTTGCAGATGCATCCCAGAGCTTCCAAGGTAGGCCCATACTGCTGACGCGTGATTGATGTGTGGTAATCGCACGTCGCTTGGAATCCGCGAGGACCGGCTATTCGACAAGTGAATCTTGGATCAGCAAGTGATCTGGAGGATTACCAATATCCTGCGACAACGAGCATCCTGACAATACCTTCAGTGCCCTGTCCAGCCCATGACCGGCCACACTCTTTCTCGCACTCTCGACGGGCAAGATTATCGAGGCAGGTAGCTAGTTTGCTTATCAGAAGCAGCTCCAGTTGGGGACACAAGTGGGAAATACCGTCGCAGCAGCCCTTGCCACTTTGCGGAGAGGCTAAACTGGACACGCTGCTGTGAAGGCTGCGAGAGTCTCGCAGCGATTCGTTTCTTGTCTCTTGCAGCAACTATCCCTATCGCATGCAGTATCATCCGGTGCACGGGCGGTTGATTTCACCGACTCGGAACAGCAGACGGCGGAAGACGACATTTCCGGGGACACCGATCTTGGCGATTCACGAGCGTTGCAGCAGCCCTGCGTCTTACAGCGGACTTCGCTGTCGCTCGCAGAAGCACCCATCTCATGCAGTGTGCTGTGCGCGAAGAAGAAAAGGGAGAAGGTGTATTCCTGAAGTTGTCAAAATGTGGCAGCTGAAGATTCACTTCCAAGTTACTTGCTGATCGATCGGGCGAGAGATCCGGCCTCGGCACTTTCCGTTCTGGGGCGGGGGTCCTGACAAAAGAACCGCAACAACAGTCAGCTGATAATGACGACCATTCAGAGGACAAGATGCTGGTATTAATTAGGAAGCACTCTGCCTTTGAATAATGTCTACCACTCCACCAGAGACAGATCCTGCATATCTCCAGTCCAATGGCGATATTATTCTCACCTGCAACTTATATATATTCAGTCTATTGCTTCATGTGAATCAGTGTGTAGTGGCCTGTAGATAACCAGCAGGTGCCTATCAGTAATAATTCATCGGCAATGAATTACGCTTTGAAAATACTGATGCTCGTACAGGATGAGGGTAGTTGCAGATGTATTAATTAAGACTGCTTATATTCTTCTCTTTCTTGGGGCCAGATAGATATAGCACTAAAATAGGATATATAACTTTAAGAGGCAAATATACCACATTTTGTACCTGAGGGGATGAGGTTCACCGAGGATTGAGAAACAACAGAGATGATTTTATCATCAGAGAATACCATCACTCAGATGATATTTTCGACAAAGAACTTCCTGGCATAGTGAATGCCATATATGGGTTGAAATTTTCCAAGGAAAATATCATGGGAACGTTAATGTTCTCTTTGCTCATTATCAACCTAATCAAACTGAGAGGAACCCAGGACGTGGGTGAGACGCTCTTGAGCCACCGCGACCTAAAAGGGTGGGTCCCACGCACAATTTTGAGCATAATCATTGGTTCAACAATTGAGAATAGAGCAAAGAGAATGGACTCATTTGATTGATCCATATTTTACCTAGTCGATGCTTAAGAAATCAGTACTACTATGCGAACTGCAGCCCCGTTCAGGCAAAGTATAGGATCACTATAACGCCTTTGACAGTGCGTTGAATCTTCCTTTCAGTTTCGTCCTGGAAGAAGAAGCTGGATGGGATCGATCTATTTAAGTTCTTCGACATAGACGATGCAGTCATTTTGGAGGCACAGCCATTGTTTTAGGCGAGGGATTGCTGACATACTCAAGGTCAAAAAGAGCTTTCCAAAGTGCTCTTTTCAGCCTTAGACATTCTACACGCCGGGAAAACTGGCTTGCAAGAACGACCCTTAACTAGGGACCTGCACCTTATTTCCACAGCCCCTTCTTCAACTTTTGTCCTCTGCAAAACAATGGAGCCAATAAAACGGCAGATCAGGTCCTTTGGACAGGATGATTATCTAATGTCACTGTTGTAACCAAATCCGGCTTTCTATGCCCAGCAATCGAGCTCCGTTCTGTGTAAATCTAACTGCCTGCGCGCTGAGCAGGCATGTGTGTGGACATGAGTTTCGACAAACACACTGGGGCTTGTGGGTTCTGACAGCCCCCATGCTGCGAAGGCATGTGTGTCGCTAGATTCAGATCTTTCCAGTATTCAAAGTATCGATATTACTGGCTACCCTATACCTTCATTTGAGTTACACTTTCTGTGTCATGGCAGCCATATCACAAACTGTAGACCTTGATGTTGCTCAAATATGCAGGGACTTCCTCAAATCAAAATGAGAAAGGAAGAAACAAAAAAAGAATAAAGAGACAAACTGAAAAACCTATGTTGTTAAATGGTACACTTCAACATTCCTCATGTAAATGCTCACTGAACAGACATTAAAGAGGATGAACT